GTTAGCACGAGCGTTTACAAGCCTGCAAATGGTACCATCGTGTGCATGATACTCGTGTTTGAGCATATAGCCTTCTTTATTCTACAAAGCCTGTCAAATCGCGAAATACTCTGGTTTAAGGCTAGCCGCTGTCGTTTGTTTCTGTTTGTCGCTTTAGTGGGGCTCGGGCATTATAGCCCAACTAAAACTATATCTGAAGATCAGCCCATGCTCTCTGCTTTGCCAACCCCGCGTATGACTATGATAAACACTGACGGTGTATATATTAGGATCAGATCACGTGGCTGATAGTTCTAATTGCGAGTTGAGGAGGGGAAAGCTGTTTCATTTCTTTCTTTCGACTGTCTGCCATTTTGCGGAGGGGCAAACTAATGGATGCTTTTGCAAGTTATCAACGTCAGGGATTACATCTTAGCGGTATTTATTGAACTTAAGGTAAAAAAAAAAATGCGGCACGACCCATTTTACATGTATTCACAGCATTGAGGCTCCCAAACATCTTTTCATTATTGCTGAACTGCCTCAGAAAGTTGTCCCGAGAATAGAAGTGTTAAAGGGTCTAAATGTGACGTATTAGTCCGACGTTACATGGAACTATTAATGTGTACGGGAGGGATACCTGAGAAGAAAGTTCCTAGTGGCCTCACGGGGATAGCCGAACGTTGGCAGCCGCTGTAAGTCTCACAGGAGTGTCGTTCTCAAGTTCTCCAAGTTTCGACCGCCCTGTATTTTGTTTAACCTTCACAGTTTGGTGCAAAGTAAAAGCAAGGAAGAATTACCGTTAACAAGTGACACAAATATAATTGTCGAGTGAACACCACTCAATACGGAGCAGGCAATCCCTGAGGAATAAAGAGTATCTTGAGGAGCAACTAAAAAAAAAAAAAGGAGTGGGGAGGGGGGTAGTTTTAAAGCATACTGTGTCGTAAAGATTCCTCTGCCCCGCATTTTCGGCGCAGACTAGAACGCGTGGCCTGGAAACGGTAGTGACAGATGGGTAGTTGGTACAACTTTTATTTGTAAAAACACTCTTGCCTAAAAGCACGTTTTCGTCGTGCCAGATACTCGCGCCGTTCCTAACGACGATGCACCAACAAGAAAAATGTGTGCCTCTCAAATACATAGCTTGCACTGAGCGCGAAAATTTTGCAGCGTGCATTTTGCCCCACCGGTTTTGATTTTCTCAGCAAGAACAACTCGCAATGACAACCAGTATCTAGTGCGATTACGTCACGTGCAAACTATGTTAAATACTTCAGCTTTCTGGTGAAGTGCGACGTTCGCAACACTAGCAGTAGACGTCCAAGGTGTAAAGTTGTGTAGTATTTATAGCAGTCTCGCGATGATATACGGCAGCCTAATGAAATGTTGCAGCACATGACTGATAAAGAACAGAGTCGTGAAGTAAGGTCCCAAAACAAGTGCACGTAAAACCTAAGATAACATTAGTAGTATCTCGCGACGTTTCGAGCTGAGGCAAGCTGATGCCCAAAAGTGACTTATATTAGGATTCTAAAAATCTTCATTTGCCCTGCGCGGAATCTATGTTTAATTAGGAATATCATTTTAGGCATTTCTATGCGTTTCTTTTTGCAGTAAAGCGTTGTGTAAGGGATTATTTAGAAACAATTACGTGTCATCGCCTTATTTCTGCACATTTCGTGTATTTGCCTTCCGATATATCATGTGACCACAGTGTGTTTTTGGCATACCCTGCAACCCAGTATTTTACACTGCAAAACAGCTAACAAAAGCACGTTGCTGAAGACTCAACAGCTGGCGTATTTTCGAGTATCGTCCTTTCGTGTCGGTCTCAGGCAGTTATGTGAACTTCATAAAGTCAAATTTATCGATGATAATAAAAATATACTTAATTCCTGTCTGAAGATTTGGCGGCATAAATAGAAGATCCTCACCTCAAAGATATATAAGTAAATGCACCTTTAAATTATCTGAAAGATGTTCTGCAAATCTTTTTCGGCGCTTTTATCCTCTATAGACACGTTATAGGTGATTTGGAAAAGCTTTAAATAATATTTTTTTTTTATTTTGAAGCTAATTTAAATAACTGTATGTGTTCCTCACGCATATATGACTTCTCAAATATATAGAAGTTTTTTTATGTGTTTTTATTATCGCCTTTTTTTACTGGAACGAATGGTGGAACTATGACGATTGCACACTTAAACTCTCAGAAAGTGTCCAATTAAGTAGCTTCCGAATTGAGTAGAGTATGAAATACCACTTTGTTCTATTTAACAAAAATCATCAATTAGCGAGGGTGATCCTTATTTGCAAATTAAATTGACCGGCATTTTGTCAAGAGCAAACCTCAACATCCAGGCTATGCCAGTTTATCGAATATAAGAAAATGTTCACATGGGTAGGCACTGTTTTAGGTCAGATTCGATCTCAGTACGAAGGTGCTCATAGGTTAGAGTAAACCATTTCAGCCACTCCTTTTCGCATGATTCGTCGCCCGCATCATGGTGCTGAGAGCAAACAATGCTAGTTAGAAAAACAAGCATTGCGATTGTCGCTTAGTGTTTCTATAAAATATAGACTGGAAGGACTTGTCCCGTGACTTTCGTGACATTTTGAAAATTATATTGCCTTAATTGCTCAGTCGTCTCGTCATCATATATATATATTGTGAAACGTATTCCGTAAAACACATTTTATGGTATATATGGCGACGAGGTGCCCATTTCATGATTTTATTCACTGTAATTAATTCCGTAGTTCAAGGGCAAAACCACGATTCAACATCTAATATTGCGATACAAAGTTGTACCAATCACGGGTATTTTAGGCAACCTACTTCACTTCGCGAAAACATTTCGATTCAGGTACGATGTATGTGACTCTGGTCAACGAAGGGATGTTGAGTCGTATAAACACGACGTTTTGTATGTTAATGTAGATTTTCCTTTCTTGTTGTGTAGGAATAAATAACAGAATTTTATAATTTTGGTACCTGAAAATAAAACTGGATTGAACAAACGATAAAAAAGAAAACTATATACTGTAAACGACTTATTTTTCGTGGGCTCAATATTTCGCGATTTAGGTCAAAGCTGAAGTTTTTGAATAATTCGCGGGCTGTAATTTTCTCGACGCGGTGGAATCTCAATATAAATTTCAATGTGTTTACATTTTACCGAAATTGTTCGCGGGACCCATTTTTCGCGAATTGTAGGCGATTCGCGAAATTCTCAAAAATAGGTCCTCGCAAAAATCAGCTCGTTTACAGCAGTTAGTTTCACGGCCTAAATATAGTGCCTATTGACAGAACAACGCGGAAAATATATTCTCAATTTAGCGGTTCAAACCGGTTCGAACCGGTTTGAACCGTTATCTTTTGCGCCCCGGAACTGAACCGGAACTGAACCGAAAGCCGTGAAATCGAACCCGAACCGAACCGATAAAAATATCGGTTCGACACTCTGCTTTAGACACAAGGCCATATATTTTTCTATGGCTGGCTGTAGCTGTCTTAACGGATTTCTATGGCCGACCATAGGGGGTGATAGCCTGCCATATAATTTTTCATAGACGACCATAGACATTTTTTGTATGGTCTATGGTTTCAGCAGTCAGCTAGCTGACTGCTGAAAAAGGTTTTACGAATACTTCATAATTAACAGAACCAAGTGACGGAAATTGAAATGCATTTTGCCAGGACTTCATGCCAGGCAAATCACGGGGAGTGCATCTTCGCATCCGACACTGGTGGCTTTAAATGCACTGTGACATTTTTAAACACCTCTTTGAAGAAGTCTGAATTGACTTCGTATCTGCATCTGTACAGCTCAAAATAATCAGTTCGTCAAAATGGAATTACATTCCATACATTTGTTAGCCAGTATTTTTAAGCCGAAGCAAAGCCAAAAGGTAGCAGAATTAAGACCACTCGAGAAGAAACGAAAAGAAAAACCTCTGGCTGTGGGCAAGCAGGCTCCAAGGAATTCCAAGGGTAAAATAGGCTACATATACGATTGGTAATTCGGAGGGAGTTTCAGACATTATCATTGCTCTGCTGATCACAAGGCTCAAATGGCTTCAAGTTATGGGAGCCTTGGGTAGCGAAGCGCTAAGGGACAAGCCGCGAAACGCCACAGCGCACGCGAGGAACTGCACGCAAACCTGAAGCGAACTTTCGATTTAGGTCGGTCGTTCGCGGAAAGAAAAAACGCAAGTGCCGTCTCTGTACATTATTTAAACGGCGCTTTTCACCGAGTATGTCTGTAACTGAAGAAAACAAAGTTTACTCCAGTCACGCGAGGATATACCGTTCGTCGATTTGCTATATCGTCACGTGCAGCTAGAAGTCGGACATATGTTTCACATTCTAGGGGTACACCTGGAAGTAGACGGGACGACACGCCTTTCCAACCGGCGGCACCTCGACACACCGCCGTTTGAAAGCCAGCACGTTTTGCATATCGCTAACTTCGTTCCTCAACCTTGGGTACACGTATATCACTGACACATTTTGTTTCTGGGGGCACTTCGCCGCATTATACCTCTGGCGTCCCCGTCCACGAGGGCGCCGCGACGTGAACATTTCAATTCTGCAGATTACCCCTTCACGCTTGCATGGTCTCCCAAGAAAGCGAGCCGAAAGGAAGTCGTCCCACGTGCACGCGGTACGCCTCAGGTAGCCGTAAACCATGAAGCACGCAATTATCGTCTCATGCGACAGCCATTTGGGGGCGTCACAAAGGCAACACCTCGAAACATCGTATCCCGGCCGAGCCAATGCCACCCGCATCACAACGTCCACACCGGAACACTAACAAACGGACGGGAAGAGGCAACAATGCATGGCGTGGGTTCCATAGAAAATGACTCGAAAAGGCAAGGTCACCCGTCGTCCTTGCAGGCGGCGATCCCTCAGTCGTTCGGCTTGGCCGGTGCTCCGAGACGTTCGAGTCCCTCTTTCCCGGCATAGCTGCGGAGAAAAAGACGTACCCAAGACGACGCCTGGCCAGTCCGCTATGAAGCACGCCCTGCTCTTGCTGCTGCTGGCCATTGGGTTCCGGGAACAGCCCGTGGCGCATCAGGCACCAGCCCAACAGACACGTCCCGGCTGCAACTATGCGTACTGGTCGTACTATCCCGCGTACACCGTCGGCGGCTTCCAATACCAGCCGCAGTCCGGCTACTACCAACCGCAGTCCGGCCACTACCAGCCGCAGTCCGGCTATTACCAACCACAGTCCGGCCACTACCAGCCGCAGTCCGGCTACTACCAACCGCAGTCCGGCTACTACCAACCGCAGTCCGGCTATTACCAACCGCAGTCCGGCTATTACCAACCGCAGTCCGGCTACTACCCCCCGCATGGCTATTCGTATGAGTATCAACACCGGCAGCACCAGCAGCATGGGACGTACGGTTACGCAGCACACTACCCGTCCGTGCTGCCTTATCCGTACCCGTTGCCTCTTCCGCCCCCACCACCACTCCCGCCGCATTCGCCTGGCCCCTGGATCCCTGGCCCCAGTCATCCACCAGTTCCTCCGCCGCCTCCCGCGCCCAAAAACGTGGATCCTTTTCCTGGAAAGTTCCTTGGAATGGGCTCCGTGCGCTATGTCAACGGGGCAAGGGACGTGGAGCTGATCTGCAATCTGCAAGGCGACAAGATCGTGTCGGTAAGTACATTGATACGGTAGATATCCTACATCTCTGCGCGATGTCACTCTGACGTTCACATAGCTGTACCATTCCTCTCACTTTAGAATGAACTACAGCCAAAGCTGAAGGTCGCCGGGTACAAGAGCAAACCACTTAGAAACCACGTGGCATAAATATTGACCCGGCGTGCGTATCAGTGCGTACGTCTCGGTGCACTGCTACGCGCGTCGAAGTAATATGTCACGTGATTTCTAATTGGCTTGCGATTGGACCTGGCGACCCGTACCTTTGGATGTAGTCCACCGTAGGGTGAGACGAAGTACGGTTTCATTTGTGTGCTTTTTGTGTCAGAAAACTAGATCATGCCCTGGGAAACAAGTTGCTTGGGGGATGAAATTACACGCTAAATGCTTCGAATATTGGGGTTGTCCAAGCACTTTATCTGCATCGACTGGCGAGTAATCTTTGTCGTTCGTCCTCGCTTATCTAATGTTTTGAAAATAATGTCACGTGCCCAGTGTTCTCTTCCTAGCTCAGGACCGGACAAATCATCTTTTTATTTTACCTTACTGCACACCTCAAAATGTGCCCTGTCCCCTGTCACCCGTATGGAAACAAATGCACGAAGAAACACGTAATGCAGTTAGTGTAAGGGTGCAGGTGAGCTGGAAAAGAACTGACCTTTTTTAACCCCGAAGCGTGGGGAAACAGAAGGACAGGACAACACGTTGGAATGGGAGTTTCGTGTTGTCCGGTCCTTCTGTTTCCCCACACTCCAGGGTTAATAAATTGTGTAATGCAGCATTTCCGCACGCTGCATGGCTGCCTGTCAGGGGCAGGGGAGGGTTCCCAAGGAGGGGGAGGGGGAGGGGGGGGGGGGGGGGGGGGGGTACCGTAAGTTTGTGTCACTCAGCTCGTTCACCTTGATCAGATCAAAGCTCTCACGTACACCCTTCACTAAGAGAGCTGCCATTCTTTGTGACTGTCTTTGCCGCCCACACCCGTCGGTACACATTCGCGCAACATTCTACACGTGTGAACGGGGCTTGCCCTTTTGCAGTGTACACGATGCCGCCATGCACCCATCGACCATGCTGTGCGCTCGACACGCAGACAACGCGGTCACATAGCACAACCCCGACAGTTGATCGATCTACAGTCGGCGACAGGTCAAGAATGAAATGGAAGCTCCTCCTTCCATTTTAGAAGAGGTAACGCTGGAGAGGACGTCGCCTCCTCTCCAGCGCTCGCAATGCTAAAGTGGAAAGAGTTGGCAGGAGCCAGCCTCGATAGCTTTCCACCAACAATTTAGGTTTGAACAGAGATTCCGATAAGCTTCGGTTGTTCTAAAATGCGTCTTTGACGCATCTGAACGCAAAGAAGGGCACGCCAATCAAAGGGCAACATAAAGTATCCTTGAAACTTACTCGAGTTGGCTCTGCATTGTGAAATTGCACAATGATCTGTGCCATTGTGTGAATCACAGAGCGCTGTTTGTGATGCACGTCCTTTGTCCGTCTTCGCGCTTTTTTTTTTTTTTTCATTTTACAAGGCAACATATAGGACGCATGAGAACGCGTGATGACGGGACAGCCAAGCTTGCACCGTTATTGGTTGAAGTCGTGGAGAAAGAAACACACGTGGGCGCATTTGGGAGGTAAACAAACGCACGAGGTGCACAAGGAGCTGACGAACTTTTTATGATGGTACATCGCATGCATATTGAACAAGGTATAGGTATGTCGGTTATATATGAAAAATCTTGTCCTGTCATGTCGCTCCATTCAAAACCAAATGTACCAAATAGCTTTACAGTCGACTATCGGTAACTTCATTCCACAGAAATAATAATGTATTTATATGATGAGTTTATTTTTAAAAAAAAGTCCGCAAGGTTATTTGTCGGTCGTCACAGTGATTCTTTTTTGTTCTATCGCATGCGGTCGACTTTTCATGGGGCAAATAAGGTTGTATAAATTTGAAGAGCAAGAACGGGTTAGCAAAAGTGAGCCATATGCAGCTGCGAGAAGTGAGATCTTGCTTTCCTGCTTCCATCACTTCTAAAACATGTCTGCTTTTTTCGTTATTTCTTTTTCTTTTTTTCAGATGCTGCGTATTTTTGGGGGTTTCTATCTAAAAAAAAAAACTTTTCGAAGTTTTGGTCTTTTTTTATGAATATTTATAGAAGTTAAAGTTCAGCGTTGCTGTTGTTCTTTTTTGCGTGTGATACGTACGGTATTTTTGTCAACCCAATGCCGTATATGGTCTTTAATTATGCTTGTCTTTTTGTGAGCATTGGGCGAATATTAACATGGTTGTGTTTAGCACGGTGCTGTCTTGGGAAGTTTGCAACTATCACATTCCAGGGTGACAATCCGTAAACTATGTGACTGGCCCTAAAATGTAACAGGATAAATTTATAAAATAGCATTTTTATTTGTGACAGCAATGATGAGTCTATTTCCCATCATGATTTCATAGTAGCGACCAAGAAAAAAACGCTGTAAGGCACACTTTGACGCGCCCTTGACCACCTACAAGGCACAAGGACGAGAAACGCAGCGAGGAAATAAAACGCTCAGAACGGAGACAAGAAAATATGCATAAATTGTGGTTATCGTAAATTTTGCGACACCTGTTCCAGATAATAAGTAAATAAAGCCACCCCCCTCTTTTTTCTTTTTTTCCTTTTTTTTCTTTTTTTGCTCCCCCCCCCCCCCCCCCCCCCAAAAAAAAAAAAAAAAAAGTGGTTGAGTCGAGTTGCAGTGCGGATTTTTGTACATTTTTGAATTTAAAACCTGACAAACTGGTTTGGGAGGAAATTGGTGTTCTTGTTTTATATAATTTTTCGAGGTTTCAAAATAAACAGATCGTTCACCCGAGAGGACAAAATGTAATAACGTAAAAATGAGATTTTAGTAGATCGTCTATCACAACTATGCTTTTGGCCGTGTTTTCTGCGATTAGGTAATTTCTTTTCCGAAAGCATTCGTATTTTGGAGCCAGACGCCATATAGGTCATATAATGACCAGCTTTTGCGTCCGGTAATCGAGAGCTCGCCAAGACGGTCCTTTCGATTTCTGTCACGATGCACTCTAAGAAGTGGAAAAGTATCCAGAGCCGGCCGAGAATTATTGTTATTCTAAGCTGCTCATTCACGAAGCCAGGATTTTGAAAATAATTTCCAGAATAAACCCGTAATTATTTACCGGCAGGTGTTTATCGGATTGTTTTTCGTCGAAAACGCACACGCATTCTAAAAAAAAAAAAAAGCATCTGTTTTTGAAGGGCTTTTTTACCGTCCCAAGAACTCTCAGTTCGCGAGGACCGGCTTCGCCTCAAGTACTATCGTCCCCTGGCGCGCTAGAAAGGAACTGGGCGATGAAGAACTCTTTCGCATCACAAAAGGAGGTTAAAAGAACCCCTAAAAGTTCTTTTACGACCATTTTTTTATAGTGCAGAAGTCATTTCATCTTAATCAGGAAGAGACTTCCTTCAAACATAGCCCCCTCACCTGTACGTAAGAAGAAAAAAATCTGGTCGTAAAATAACTCTTAGGGATTCTTCGGCTTGCCCATATTTTGCACCCTAAAAGGTTCTTTTAAGCACCCCCTAAAAGGGGTCTTCGTGAAAAACCTATAAGGGGTTCTTTTAAGCTCCTTTTCTGATGCGAAAGAGTTCTTCATCACCCAGTTGCCTTCCTAGTGCGCCAGGGAACGATAGTGATTGAGGCGAAACCGTTCTTCACGAGCTGAAAGTGTTCTTGAGGCGTCGAAGAACATTTCAAAAACGGATTTTTCTTAGTGTGCGGCAAGACAGGTAACATGGGTCCAATGTATAATAATAATAATAATAATGCTTTATTTTCCGGTGCCCACAAACAACCTCGCGGTCTACTGTGTGGTGCACAAACATGGGTAAAGTATTATGCATATAAGACAAAAATACAAATCGTGAAAGAAGCACTGACAACAAACACAAGCAAAAAAAAAAAAAAAACTAGAGCTAGGCCTCCTGATTTCGTCTGCTTAAGGCAAAGGCATCCATTCGCGTAATTGTTTCATAAAATTCTGATGGGCAATAAAATATCAATGTTATTTTGATGAGCATTATTGAAATTAATTTGAACCCTCAAAAGAGGTGACACAGATGATGTAAAGGAGGGGTAAAAAGTTGATTTGTTCCTAATGATTTGGGGTGAACATGGAAGTTAAGAAACTGCAATAAGACCATCGAGTTTACTTGACCGTGGACAACCCTCTGTGAAAACATAAAATATCGGTGCTTTCTTCTCACATGCAGTCAGTTTATGCAATAGAAACCTATGAAGCAATGATTCATAGCGGTAGAAACACTCCCTTCCAATACGGACAATTCTAATAATTCGCTTCCGTACATTTTCAATCGCGATAGCTTGCGAAATAGTCAGTGAATTTCAGACCACAGTGCCCAATTCTGACCGTGATCTAACCAAAGACTTATACGAATGCAGTAAACATGAAGGTGCAGAAAACTGGCGACGTAAACGTGAAATCATACCTAATACTATATGTCGCATATTGTACAGAGAGCGACGCTGTCAAACAAACGATCGCCAAATTCTCCAGTTTTTTTTTTTTTTTTTTTTTTTTTTCAAAATAAAAGGCTTTTATTGAAACGATATAGTAAAGCGGACAGTGCTCAGTGAGTCAGTCAGGACAGAACCCCAAGCGGTGAAATTTGATGCTCGAAAATATTCTTTGATAATGAAAACAGCGAACACTAGCGATGGTCGAACGCGAAGCCGATTTCCGGAACTGCCAAAGTATTGACAGCTTGCGACGGTTCGAATAATAATCGCCCCCGAAGAATCAAGGCAACACACGAGGACGAAAAAGCCGACAGACGCAGGAGCACAAATTTCCAAGATGCAATATACCTAAACTCGTATACACATTGGGAACAGGAAGTTTTCCCAACACCGCAGTCTGCTAGTCAAGGACAAAAGATGAGGAAATTCTTTTGCTCGCAGCAGAG